TAATAATAATAATAATAATAATAATAATAATAATAATAATAATAATACATCAAGAAATTGCAGCTTCCTGCAATAACACTAGTGGAACTGCAAAAAACTGTGCTACTTGGAACACTGTATATTTTAAGAAGATACTTGGTTGATACCTAGGACACTGCCAGCAACCCATATCAACCATTAGCACCAGTCGCTGATATTTGTGATACATTTTTAAATGTTCAGTTGACTGAGTTTCATGTTTAATAAATAAAAGAGATAATAACAATAACAATAACAACAATGAAGATTTTAATTATAATAATAAAGATAATAAGTAAAGTATCACACAACATTTATGCAATCGTTATAAAAATAAATTGGAAACGTCCAATGTCAAGACAGAAATAGCAAGCTAACTATAATTTATAAACAAACCATTGCTATAATAGTACTGTAATTTGGTAGAATCAGATTATTTGTTCAGTGATTCATCTAATAAGGATTATTGTTACAAAATATAGTTCCAAAGAACTGTGTTTCTGCAGCAGACAAGTCAGGCTCATGTGGCATTAACAAATTTGGTACCTCATGTGATGCAAGTTATTATAACAAATTAAATATATGAAATAAAGTTAATGACCAAGTTTACCTAAATGTAGTTCATAAGTGGAGTAGCTGTACAAGATTCATAAAATAAAGGTCTCATTTATGTGAAACCATGAAATAACAAATTCATACCTCTTGAAAATTGGAGCAATTTGTGATTGTGCTACAAAAGTATCTGGAAATTACAACCAGTGTAATATGCAACAACTGTTCCTAATGGGTGTAAATCTAGGTTTCACATAATGTGTATCCTAACAGATCTGCCCTGGTTGAAAATTGGACACGGGGCACAGTTTAACAATTAACCTATAAGGTTAAATGGACCTACCTGTACCAGCGACAGCAATTTTACAAAAATGCATATTTCCTTTCCAGACTACAGAAATTCACAATACATATTCCTATGAGAAAGATATATCCTTCATCATCTACCATAAGTTATATACCTCTAACTTCTCCCTCTGCTGGAGGTAAATAAAGTTTGGTCCTTTTCAGACTAGGGGTATAATTCAAGAAGAGAAGCTGAGGGCTATGGTTAGGAAAAAAATAAAAGTTTTATTATTCCTCAATGAAAGTGCCAATGTGGTGGGGCAGTTAAAGTGTTGGAATAGGTATAGGGAGACCATGTTCTAGTCCACCTTTAGCACAGAACTCAGCAACTTTGGACCTAGTCCCTCTCACTCAGCCCAGGACTGTAAAGTTGAAAGTCCAGTATGTTCACGTGTAATGTATATTCTGAAATTTCTTCTCAGTTCTTCAGCTAAATAACAGTCTCCATCCAATCCTGGCTTATTTTGAAAAGCTAAGCAAGTTATATCTATTTAGTACTTAGATAGGAAACTATCAGGAAATTTGCAGGCTACATTGGAGAATTCCCCCCACCCCGCTAAAAAAAAATCTGGAAAAAGACAATGCTTAAGCACTTCCAATTTGTTGCCAAGAAAATTATTTACACATATCAATCACCAGACATCAAGTGCAATACAAAGGAGACTTTATACAGACAGCACATGTTCTATTGAATTATTCCTTCAAGCAGTTACATTTCCAAAATCCAACAGTGATGCGTGTGTGTGTGTGTGTGTGTGTGTGTGTGTGTGTGTGTGATTTAGTAAAATGAGAAATCATTCCCTCCTGAATAACTACTGTGACTCATGTAAGTTTAACTTAAACTGGTTTTAATATGCTGTGTTTGACATACAGTTTCACACCAACCAAAATTCCTAAGGTGAAATATGAATTGACAGAATATTCTTTGCTGCCTGCATCAGTTTCGCCACCGCCTTCACCTGCAGTAAGTGACTTACTTCAGTTTTGCTAGCACATACATTTTATTAGAATAAAGTAGTTACTGGACAGAAGATTTTTTTTCAAAAAAATAAAACAAGGTTGTTCATCAGTTAGTCGAACTCTTACAAAGTGGCAGGTTACGTTTTATGCTCCAAGTGCATGCCTCGGTGTATCTGAACACTACAAACCCAGCAAAATATACATATCTATCCAGAATTTCTCTTTTGTTAGTTTTCAAGGTATTTTGCTACAAGAAATTCCTTCTTGCTAAGGATTTTTTTTCCTTTTGCACAGATACATGCACAGGAACATAGGTTCTTGTCTAATGTTAGTTTTGGACTATTGATTCACCTAGATCAATATTACTAACACTGCCTGGTGGGAATTTTTGTAGAATTGGGTAGCAAGGCTAAGATTAAAGCTAAGATTTCCTGCCTGGAAACATTTGCTTTACAATGAGCTACAGTCATGACATACAAAACATCACGTCTACTTCAGCAATTCTCCCATAGTTACTCAATTACTCAATTCTGGGTATAGAAAGATAATCTAACTCAAGTGACAAGTTAATGACACCATGGACATTTATGGTACTTTTGCCACTCCGACGGTTTGATTTTTGCTTTGGGGACAAAAATGGGAAAGGTTATATTTCTTGTTTGTTAGTTTTCCAATTTCCTGGACTTATCTACACAGGAGAATATCTTAAATAACTGCAAGGACAAATCCTGTCAAAGTGTCATTTTGATTAATCTGTGCCTCATCCTTCTATTTTATGAAGCATTGAGAGAGTGCAAACTGTATCATATAAAAGGGAAAGGGGGCAGTGTGCGTGAGTATTTTATCCTATCATTGCAGTCTCTGCCTGATACTTCTCTCTCTGGGCACAATGAGAATATATTTGCTGAACAAAACTCTGCGTTGGTGACAGGAAAGGAATCCAGCCAGTAAACACTCTCCTAGCTCCATTCAGTTGTCTAGACTCTGCCCTGCAAGGTAATATGGGGTCATGAGGAGGAGGAGGAGGAGGAGGAGGAGGAGGAGGAGGAGGAGGAGGA